TGATTGGTAGGTATGGTAACCAATCAGCTTTTTCTATATTAAATTTTGGCTTGGTTATGGGGGAGTCAATTGTTTCTTTTTCAAAAAGTACAATCGAGATCGGGAAGTGGTCGCTTCCTGAGAGGTGACTGTCAATTGACCATTTGGAGTGAAGTTTTCGTTTAAAATGGATTTAATGGAGGATAGGGAGTCCGAGCATATAGCATATTTTCCAGGTGATCCTGAGCAAATTTTTACAGCTTCATGGATTGGAATCAAAAATCAAAATCGATAATCTAAAATATTAAAAAATTATTATATCTCAAAAACGATGAAAATATGTTGGAAAACAACTAAGTTATACATTTTTTTTACAAATTTGTCGATCATTTCTATGGCAGCAATATATATAGTCTGATTTTCATGAAATGTATACCAAAAGTATGACATAATAAAAAATTCTCATATCTCAAAGTAGATGAAAATACGTTGAAAGCAATAATTTTTTTCTATTCATTTCCCGATCGTTGCATTGACTCGTTGGCGGTCAATTCTTATAAAAGAGAAATTTAAATTGACTTGAAATAATACAAAATGGCCATATCTCAAAAATTATAAAAATATGTTGAAAAACGGCCAAGTTATAGGGTAAGGTGGGGTAAAGCCGACAGTGTGGGTCAACCCGACCTCCCTCTGTTTTCGAAAATGGGAAGCACTACGCAAACTTATATTAGTGTTGTCGTGTAGAGCATCGAAAACAATGAAAATGGTGGTATGACAGCATTTTATTAGTCAACATTGAGATGGTCAAACGACAACAAGGTTGTTTTCACAATTTTGACTTTCATTTTTGTGCATAATTAACTGCAGGATATTTCTTTTTGTCAGAGTTATCGCATGAAAAGGTAAGTGGATTTAGATTCTTTGAATAAAGTCCTACAAAGTGCATATATGTTTGGTTCATTTTTTTTCATAATTTCTTTTTTTAATTGCGTTTTTATGAAAAATTACGTGGTGGGGCAAATCCGACCTCTAAATAGTGGGATAAATCCTGCCGCAAAAAAAGCCAAAAAACAACAATCACACCAAAACCATCAACATCGCAGCCAACCAGACGTTCAACTCGAGCAGCAAATCAGATGATACTGATTAATTATTGTGCTATTTTCATTTTTTTAATTTTATTATCTTTTATTACCATTATAAAATATATCACATAGATTGATTTATCATTGCAAAACTTATATTTACGTTATATCTGTACTAAATCAACCAAAAACATAGGCGGTCGGGTTTACCCCATCATTTTTGAATATAGCAAAAATGAACTTTTTCGTAAAACGCTTGTATCTCAAAACTTTTTAAAGGTATGAATGCTATGCATAGAAAGTTGCGCAAAAGTCCAACCTTTAATTTGGTATATATAACGACTTGATCCGATGTAAAATAAGCATTTTATAGCCAAAACCATTTACTAGGTCGGCTTTACCCCACCTCACCCTACATTTCTTTGTTGTGGAACATTTGTATGGGAGCATAGTATTATTTAGATAGTTTTAAAGCTGAGGGACTCGTCGTAGAAACGGATAGACGGACGGACGGACAGACGGACATGGCTAGATCGACTCGGCTGTCAAGAATATATATACTTTTTAGGGTCGGATATGTCTCCTACATTACATTGCAAACTTCGGACTGAAATTATAATACCCTGCAAAGTTATTAAAAGTAAAGTTAAGTGTGACTGAATATAAGATACCAGATTCCAAAGCATTGTTGGTGAATTAAATATGGAACATAGACCAAATGTTCTTAGGAACATGTTGCGCACCACCCATTGGTATTGTCAATTAAAATTTAGATGTTCAAGAAGTTCAACATTATTCAGAAATTGTATTGCCTAATTCCATGTTTACACGTAACACAGACACAGGGGGCAAATACAAGTCAGAGTATCACGCCAATTATCCTGACCTCATTCTTAATAAAAACACTGGAATGGATACTAGATATCCACATCAGAGGAAGACTAGAGAAAAGCCTTTGTAAAGCACAGCTTGCGTACAGGTAGGCAGAATTAAGGAAACAGCACTACACAAAGTGGTGCGATACATATGTAGAAAACGGACTGCTTTTCAAAGCTTACAGATGGTTACCTTATAAGACATAGAAGTAGTATTCAACATCCAAACGCAGACTCTATCCTGAGCTACCTCAACAAGGTATGAGTTGAAAAAAGCAGCATAACACGACGTAGTCCTACTCACTACAGAACCATTCTCCGACGTCATCAGCAAATTAATGACAAGAGCACTGATTAAATTTTTGGGCAATTGCCTGTGGATTGGGCAATAACACAATTCCCGCCAGGAGGAGAGGAGGTATAACCGAGTCCGATGAGGTAGCACTCTAGACCGGCGGCTTAAGAATGTTCTGAGGGGTAGGGTCCGAATAAGGGCCATGGTCCTCAACACGGCCTTATGAAGTTATTATGTGCATAACAAAAAAGACTTAAATGTAGCTTGAGCTTTTAGCTCGTGGGGAAATTATTACTACGGGGATCGAAAGCGGAATGTACCAAATCAAGAAGCTCGATGAAAAGAATTACGATTCGTGGTTTTGATGCACGCAGACCTGTGGACTGTAGCATCAGGAGAGCTAAAAAAAGAAGCAGATTCAGACGGAGTAGACTGGACATTAATGGACCAGAAAGCCTTGGCAAGGATCATACTAAGCTTGAACCCCTCACAGTTGGAAAATGTCAAGCATGGAAGTTCATGACCACGATGTCTTCGTCGAAATCTCAGGTAAATTGCAAGTGCATGAAGCTAAAATGAGAAACTAAAAGTAATAATTTTACTATGCAATTGATGCAATCGAATCTAGCGACAATTTACTTGCATTCGAGATTATGTTCAAAAAGTGTAAGCTTACAAAATAGAGCCGAGCTGCCTCACTTTTTACTTTATATACAAGCGAGACCGGGAGAAGGAAGGAAGGAAGGAACGACTTAAGGCACGAGCGTCCGAGGGGACAGCTTTGGAAAGCGCTGTGAGCAGACGGGGTTTAGGGTGCCTCCTGACCTAAACACTAAGAAAGGGTAATGAATAGGTATATGTATATGTCGCAGATTACTTTGATAATTCAAATTATAACGATTTTGTGGGTACACACTTGTTTCATTTCTTATTGCTTCTTTCGTGCGAGGCATACACTGTTTTGCCAACGTAGCCTGGGCGTGGGTATGAAAGAGACGGATATTGTTTTCGGAGAACTCACCACACCTGCGTGTGTGTTGCAATGTAAAAAGGAATTGAAAAGGAATGACACAGCGTTTTTGAGTGGCAAGCAGATTGGTTGAATAATTGAGGAATCATGCCACGCGCCAGGAAACGTTTCGCCGAAAGTCCAGTTGAGGACTCCGATGTTGGATCCTCGTCATATATATTTTCCCCAACTAATGCATTTTCGTTTCCGAATGTAATGCTTGCGTTTTAGATAGATAATAAAAAATCCGAGTCAGTCGCAAACAAACTTTTAAGCCAATAAGATCACTTTGTGCATTTACATCTTATACGCGCTTAACGGGTTTCCTCTTTAATAATCTATGGATATATTAAATCTGAAATATTCAGGCCTGCTTCGGTAATCGTAAAATTTTTTCGATTTCGTTTTGGGCGAAAACGAACCGCTTTCGTTTTTATAGGGTCTTCCCACACACCGTCAAAGCGCATTCACTGTCCGTTGAACTAACTGCCCATAAGGTTTTACGCATTAAAATCTAACCACGGTTTGTTTGGCGATAGTTAGGCGATAGTTTTTCTGTGCAACTCTGATTTCTTCTTCTGAACAGTGAAAATTTGACCAACACTACGAAAAATGTATACACACTTGGCGAGAAACAATTGGAAAATGAAAATTAAAATGTGGCGCCAAAGCTACAAAGACAGACAAAATAGTTGTTGGTGTTTTTTCTGTATATTCTTTCCCCAATATGTCCCCAATTGTTAGTATTTAATATAAACCGCCTATTTATAAACAACCATTTTGGCGGTCCTTTAAAGTTATTAATGTATTCATTTATATGTTATAAGTATTTTAAACTGGCTGTTTCGTTCCACTAACAATATGGAAACCTTGGCGATAACTTTTTGCGGTGAACTTATCGACCTATCGCCAAAACGAGAAAACTGGTTGAACACGGCAAAAATTTTGTTGTCAAATCTAAGGAGGGGTCAGAAATGAATTTTTTATAAAAGAACTACCTGCCAGAATGATCTTCTGATCCACTGAGTAAAGTATTTTTTTCCTTTTGTAAATAAGATCTGATTTCATATAAAAAAAGCCATTTACTTTTCTTTCCGGCCAGAAAAAGGTGCCCGTTTTTCAAATCGAAAAAATTTTTCGTTTTCGATTACTGGAGCAGGCCTGATTGTCATTTTTGCGATTTAAATATAATGGTTCTGACATTTTTTAAATAAAATTATATGCTCAGTATAATTTATTTATCTCCTATTTGTTTTTTAATAATTCGAGTTGAAACTGCAATGGTATTTAGCTTCCGTAATTGTTTTTCTGATTTCTAAACGGCGAAAATTTGATTTGTTGACACCAAACGTAGTGGCTCTGACTCCTATAGTCTGTGAGATGTGTTGTTCCACATGAACGTATATGTAGATGTTTATGGCTTAATCGACTCGGCTACACCAAGGATAGTTTTTAAGATAATAGTACATACCTACATGTAAATTAAACATAATCAAATTTATTTTTTTGTAATGTTAATTTTATAGTATAAGTTTTGCCGGATCCATGACTTAACTTTATTCGTTAACGAATAAACACGAGAAAAAAAAGTACCTATACCAGAATGATTTGAAAGCCAACGGGACCACCGTGTATAATTGTATCGTAGTCGGATCAAGTTAATAAAAATAAATAAAGCAAATAATTCTTCGGCGGAAAATCATTTTGCATTTAGTTTTCTTAATTTGTATAAGTTGTGAAAGTTTCCTACTTACTTTTGTGGAATCCTCTTGCATTTTTGTGTGCTCAGCAATAAAACGAACACAAAAACAGCTCTTATGGATCTTAGGAGGGCATTTAGAATGAGAAAATGCTGGATTATTTAAAAGGGGACTTTTGATTTCTGAAGATCCGATATTCAGGTCGGGAACTGCTGCTATTTCCTCAGAGCAGTTCGTCAGCGCAGGCAATGGTCCATGAACTTGACAGCTTCCTCCAAATGGACCACTGGTAGTTAAGCTATAAATTATTAAAGCACAAATCGAATTATAATACACAAACTGAAAATATATATAAAAAAAGTGTACATGAACTACAGACAGATTGCTTTTTAATTGAAAATGCAGGTACAATAATTCAAATTATTGTACTTTGCGTTTTTATTTGAGTGTTTTGTTACAACATAACCTTTTAAGAATTTGCAAAGATCTTCAGACTAGAGGTCAAGTCGACTTCGGTTTTGTAAATATCAAAGGAGCGACTTTAGCAAAAAAAAAAAAAAAAAAAACACAAACAGATCTTTTCAATAGACAAGTAGCAGATTTGGATACAATCGTTTCATTGCAATGAAACAAAGCAAAAAGTAAACAAACCCTGTGCGCTTGCAACAGCTGACTTTAACAGTTGGTATTTAAATACTAGACTGTAAAGTTAACATTTGCGGTATGTTAGAAAACAGCTTGATGTTTTCTTAATACATTAAAATAAAAAAATCGAAAATTACATTTATTCCAAAAAATCGGTCAAACGCCCCATAGTGCATTGGCGCTACCCAACAGCCCACAGACACGCCCCAAAACTTTAAGCCACTCTACGTAACAAACTTTTAACCTTGGCCTCTGGCAGTCTATTAAAATTAGAATTCAGGGTTCTATATTAGGTGTAGAGTAGAGAACCAAGAAAATTAGTGATAGTTAGCAAGTGGCCTGATGATGTGGGTGGGTAGCCAAAGAAACTTTCGTAACCACCACGTTTTCATTTAAATATAAAAAATAAAAAAAAATATTTTAAAGTATAGGAGTTGTACCCTCAACAAAAAAAAAATGGTTTGCGGTGTACATCCTCTCCACAAAATCAATTAACTATAAAGGAAGCTAACTTCCGCTCGCTTAAGGATTTGTGGTATTCCCTTGCACCATGCATTTTGTTCAAATGAGAAGAAAAACTAACAAGAAATATATTAAAAAATATATTGATTTAACAATATGTTTTTGATAAAATTCCAAAAACTTATTTTTAAACCGAAAAAAATAACTATGTTTTGGATTTGAAATATCTAAAGTAATAGAAATTATTAATATATGTCGGCGAGTTGGTTGCTAAGTGCAAATTTGGAATGCTCGTTGCCAGGCAACAGAATTATTCGGCATGCTCAGGTATTGTTAGCCCTGTAGGTGTCGCTGGCCCGCAGGCGCAATGACAGTTGAGCCGGTAACATAACAAGGACAGAAGACTGTCTGTTACTGAGTGAGGTCTGTTCGTCTGTCGCAACAATAGGAGAGAGTGAGAGAGACAGCTTGAGATTGTCTAGGATTGACGTCTGAGTAAAAAGTGAGAAAAGGTGAAAGGTCCAAAGGATGGCGTAATGTGACATTCAATTAGAGACTGCGCAGGCGAACAGAACTTGCTAGCTGGGTTTCCAGCCACCAAGGCATAGACTGTAACGAGACCGCGGACGGACTTGCAAAGGAAGGCGTCAGACTGGTGAGTGAAAGAGCAAAAAACGTCCCTGTCTCACTAAGAACGTTCCAAAGCGAGCCTGCAAGCGCAAAAAGCAGGTGAAGGAGTAATTCCGCAACCTGTAGAATATCAAAAATCATGTGCAAAGAGCGCAACGAGAAACTCACGCACGTGCTGCATCTTCCGCGGAAAGACTGCAGAATGGTAGTCGACTGCCTGTTTGCTGCACATGCAGTCAAGCTGAGTATTACCGAAAACGCCAAAAGCCGGAAATGTGATGAATCCGAGGCAACTGAAACCTTGGAGCATCTCATTGTAAATGTCCGGCCCTAACGAGGGAAAGAATGAGATACCTAGGCTCTCCGGTTCTGGCATCGCTAGACGATGCCTCCAGGAGGAAGCCAGGCGAACTCCTTGCCTTTGCGGTCTCTTGGTCCATCCAGGAATTTCCCCGGATAGCTAGCGGCCATATTGACCTATGCATGGCCCCACAAGGGCCGTCCGACAGTTACAGTTTTATGGGAGCTATATGATATAGTAGTCCGATTTTCATACTATTGAAACTGAAATTCTGAAATGATAAAAAATTGCCATATCTCAAATATGATGAAAATACTGAGTTATAATTGTTTCTATTAATTTCTCGATCGTTCCTATGGCAGCTATAAGATAAAGTCATCCGATTTTTATAAAATTAAAATCAATAATCTGAAACATCAAAAAATGAAGTATTTTTTAACGATATGCTCCGACTCACATCATGTGGCCAGAGGCAAGGATAGGTGTTTTAAGATATTATTTTTATTAAAGTCCAATTACTTTTTAAAATACAACAAAAGTACATGCCGTTGTAAAGCGAACATAAAACGCGAAAAGGATCATGTGCCTCGAAATTTGTTTTACATATATCCAAAATTATAGGCCGAAAGTAACGTGATGGCCTTGAAGGTACTGAGAAACGTATTTGACTCAGAAGCTGACTGGGAAAAATATGTCCATTTATTAGTTTATGAAGGAATTTCACGCCGTGATAGGTCCGACGATCCTTAATAGAAGGAGGTCCAAAAGGCGTAGTCTCTCGGCATTAGAAGGAAGACGGCGATGTGGGTCCCAGCCTAAACCCCGAAGAGCGAACAAAAGGAATTGTTTCTGTACCGATTCAATAAGGTCTTGATACTTTGTATATTGAGGGGCCCATACACACGAACAATATACGAGTATGGGCTGAACAAGAGATATACATATATAGAAATTTTGTGGTGTAGGGATCATCAAATTCCTTAGACCATTGTTTTACAAAGGCAAAACCCCATATAATTATACCGATGTGATCGGTGAAGCTCATGTTGTGGGAAAATAGAACTCCAAGATCCGTTAGAGAATGGATACGTTCACTCGTCCCTATAGAATAGTTGGCATGGAAACAATATCTGCAGTAAAACGAGATTTGTTAAGAGTTGTTAGAGTTAATTAAGAGTTGTAGAGTTAGTAGAGTTGTTAAGAAACAACAAATTGTGAGTGCACCAGGACAACATGTTCAAATCAGCTTGCAAAAGGCAGATCAGCCAGCCTTTATTGCTGGCTTTGCGTCTGGACTTACCGGGCCGTATCGCTGACGTAATTTCTGCCAAGAATGGCATTCGTTACTGCTGCTATGCCTGCCGGGAGGTTAAGAAGGAAATGTTATCCTTCATGCGGCGGACCAGAAGCGGATTTAATGAACGTAGGGTTAATTTTCGCAAAGCGAATAACCTGTTCGTAGCGCTGGATACTCAATTTAACAGGATGAAGCTGTTAAGTGAGTCGCCAAATCGCAAAAAATCAGCTTCTGGTCGGCAGCAACTGGGCGAGCCCCAGAAACCCAAGATTTGGCAACCCCCTCGGCCCACCTCCAACACCAACTCCAATTGTGTTGATATCGGGAACAGCTTAAGATTCGGCAATCGAATGTGCCGGGATAGAAATAACAGCAGCTCCGCCAGTTTTATCCGTGAAGTCCGCTGCGGTGTCTCAATCTCTGACACAGCAGACTTCAAAAAAAGTCTCAGCTGTCCCATAGGGGGAAAAAAAGGGCCGGACCACTGGCTGAAGTCGGTTGTGCTGCGTTACCAAAGACCCTCACCGCTATTCCACCATTAAAAACAATATTTGTTTCTCGGCTTGCCCCCGACCTCGCATCGGAAGATGTACTAGCTCAAATACTGAGCAAAAAACAAGCCAAAAATGTGAAAGTGGAAAAATTCAATTTTTCATACCCCAGATACATCTCATCGCTTAAGATAAGTATATCCCTCACACAATTGACACAATTTGTTCTGGTGACTTCTGGCCCGAGCACGCTGTAGTCAAGGAGTACAAGGTAAAATAAAGAAAAGACGACCTTCAAGGCTTTCACAAACCACAAAACTAAATACCTCCCTCCTACTTTCCTTTCAGAATACTAGAGGCTTACGCAGCAAGCTCTCGAAATTGTATTCTGATAGTTTTTCGATTTCATCCCAGGTGATTGTGTTTGCCGAATCCTGGTTAAAGCCGGAGATTCTCTGCTCCGAAATTTTCACAAGTAAGTACACAACTTCCACCTCCAGCGAGGAGGTGGAATTTGAATTGCCGTTGACTCCAGCCTTATTTCCGAACTGGTTCAAATTGACGATCTCACAGGTATTGAATTTATCTGTGTAAAACTATCATTTCCAGGTAGTTTTATCTATATAACCTGTTCTTACGTTCCTCCATCTGCTGAAGAGCCTATTTAATGAAAACATATTTCGGCAATTTAGGCTGTTTCTAACATGCTTTCAGATAGAGACCAACTAATAACTCTAGGAGGCTTCAATATACCTGGAGCTCGTTGGTCATCAGATGGTATGTCCATCTGATCGGATCTTCATCGTGTAAAACCAGTTTATTCACCGGGTCCAGATGGAATACCAGGCTGCATGCTCAGGTATTGTGCTGGGGCTCTGTGCAATCCCCTTCTGAAATTGTTTACCTTATCTCTAGCAACCTCAGAAAATCCCCTTCTTTTAAAGAAATCATTTATCACTTCTCTCCACAAAAAAGGTAGCAAATCGGACGCCAGCAACTATAGAGGAATCTCTAAATTGTCGGGAATTCCAAAACTTTTCGAGAATGTAATTACTCCTCACTTGCAGCATTTACACAGATCCGTAATTTCTCCATGTCAGCATGGTTTTATGAGGCGAAGATCGACCACTACAAATCTCCTGGAACTCACCTCTTTCGTTATTAGAGGTTTCCAACGTAGCTTTTAAATCGACGTGATTTACACAGAATCTCTTCTTATAAGAAAGCTTGACTTAGTCGGGTTTCCTGTCGATCTTCTTAAATGGATTTTGAGTTATTTGAGTGACAGAACTCAAAAGGTTCTGTTTAAAAATGCTCTATCCAAATTCCTCAGAGTTACTTCTGGCGTCCCACAAGGTAGCCACCTCGGCCCGCTGCTATTTACTTTGTTTATCAATGACCTCCCGCTGGTTCTAATGAACTCTAGAGTACTTATGTACGCTGATGACGTTAAACTATGATGCAGTATAGGGAC